AGAAGCGGAGCCCAGAATTCTGTTCTATGGAAACAATCAGAACAGAATTCTGGGCTCCGCTTCTGCATGTCTCTACCTAACTTGCAATGTCGGGAGTAGAGAGGGAACCGCTGTACTGGGATGAACTGGCTACATGTGTCAACCACTGCTCTCCACAGGATGGAATTGGAATGGTTCTGATGTGTGTCACATGCCCTATACTGCAAATGAAGAGTCTCAGTTCAAGTATTCAAGTCTGACTTTTTGCAAGGGGGGGGCGGGGATCTACATTTGGTCTGGTGTTGCTGTGAAGTTGCAAGTGGCATACAATATGGTGCCCATCCCCAGTCTTCTGGAAGATCGCTCTTCTGGTGGCTGGGGGAGGGGGAAACAGGACTGGGAACCTGAAGTGTAAATTTGCTTTTTGTTTTGTTCTAGCTGAGGTGGTGACACCTTCCTCTGTGCGCGTCTGTTTGCTTAAGGCGAGTTCACGCCCATGGCACGAGGAGCCACCTTTCAAGTTAAACAGATGCACAGGACTCGATTCCTTTTGTCTTGCTTTGCCTCTCTTATCTGCAAGCGGCAGTGCTGGGTGTGCTCCGGGGCCTGGCGCCCTGCATGGCCACGCTCTGCCTTTGGTACCTGTGGAACCAGACAGGAGAACGGACAGGTCTAGCTTGATCTCCGCGGGCAGCGAAAGGGGACCCGCTCACCTCCTCCTGGGGGCGCGTGTGCTCCCAAAACGCTCACTCTGGGGAGTGGTCTCCTGATCTCTGAATCGCTCTCTGCCCAACCCGTGCCCCTTGGGCAGGACGAGAAATCCTCTAGAGGGCACCTGTAACTATGGGGAGAAGAGCCTACTACTGCTGCTAGCTCGCTGTTCCTGTTCTAGGCCAGTTGCTTGAGCCTTTCGAGCCGACTGGCCGGCTCCGGTCCTCGGTGGCTGTCCGTGCCCGCTCGCTGGCCGGCCCCTCGCTGGTGTGGGCTGACTTGACTGGACTCTTGACTTCCAACTGACGGCGTCGTGGGCTGCCCCCCGTCTGGCACCAGCCTTCCCGGGGGCCATGCTGCTCAGCACAGGCTTGCAGACCTCTCCGACCCCTCGCTGGCGCAGAGCCAGGCCGGCTCCACTCCCCTTCCCGAGGCTGAGCTGATCAATTGACGCCGTAACAAATGGCTAATCCTTCCCGTTGGTGGCTTAGAACCTCCCCTGCTGGCCGCTTGGACACGCCTGCTCCCGCTGGGCTGAGGGAAGCTGCTGCGAGTTGGTCCGATCCTCTGGGCTGGATCCGGGGTGGTGGAGCCTGGTACCCGGCCAGCGAGGGGCAGGTGGGGGGGGAGGCTCTTGCTTCTGCAGCTCTGGGGTCCTGGCTCTGTCTGCGGACGGGCAGCCCCCGCGACCTGCTGAAATATGCCCTTCCCGGCCCTGGCTCTGAGCGAATCTTTCCCCTCCCGCTCGGGGGGATGGAGCTTAAGCAGGATCGGGAGCTAACCGACCCTCTGCCCTGCCCCCCCCACCAACCCTGTATGTGGGGCGGCCGCAATTCCCACATTCTCCTTCCTACGGAGACTCTAATCTCCTTTGGGTAGCTGTGTGGGCCCAGCGATGGTTCTAGCTGCCCTGTGTTTCCAGGCCCAGCACAGAGTCCTGGCTCTGGTCTGGCACCCGGAGACTCCCCCCACACGTGTGCAAGCTCACACTCGCTGGACCCCGTCCTGGTCCGCACTCAGGTGAGATGAGATCTGGTGCCAGGGCCGTGGGGATGGAGCACGGGGCCTGCTGCCCTTATTACACAGAGGGGTTCTCGCCAGTATTCCCTATAAGCTGAGCTCTAGGGCAGCCACTCAGGAGGGATTGAGGTGCTGCCCAGCTGATTTGCAGAGCGCCTGCAGCATGGGCTGCTATTGGTGGTGCACATCCACACTAGCCTTGGTGCACTGAGCAAAATTTATTCCGCATGGATAAAGAAACAAAATTAGAACATGGGTCCTCTCCTTAGCTCCTTGGTGGAGCAGGAAGGATGCCTCCCTGACCAAGCTGAAACTCTGCTCAGGCTCCTCAGGGGATGCTAAACCAGCCCGCTGCTAAAACCAGCCCCCTCGCTCAGGGGTGAGGGGTTGGCATGACCGCGTAGGCAGCACCAGGCCGCTGGAGGGGGTCGCCTGCCAGCTCTGGGGAAGTGGGCTCGCTCCAGGGTCTGGGCAAGCCCCCCCCCCGCTCCTGCCCCTCCCTGCCCTGTCTGTCTGGGCGTTCCCTGGCGTCCCCACCCTGCCAGTGGGTCCCTGGAGAACCAGCCCCGCTGGCTGGCTGGCTGGCTTCTCCAGTCCAGGAGAGACGCGCCTCCTAGCCGGCAGCGACCGGTCTTGGAGCCAGACTTGTCAGCACTAAGGGGAAGCTTTCAAACTGGACCTAAAACTGGTTCAGCTAAGCTGGCTGGTGTCCACCTGGAGACCGGTCCCCCCTCCCCCTTCCCTGCCGACCCCCGGAGATGTGGCTGGTGAAAACGGGTGCTTGGCCGCGGCTCGCGGAGGATGCGCCGCTGTCCCAGGGAGGGTGGGTCCCCATGATGCACGCGAAGCAGGATCTGATGCGGTTCCCGTGCAGTTAGTGTGAGGGCAGGTGCTGCTGACGGGTCTGGGAATAGCGCAGCAGCGACTCTGCCTTCCGCGGGGGTCTGGGAATTGCGCCGTGACCCCCTTTCTCTCAGAGGAGGGCTTGGGCAGCAGCCCTTTGGGAACGTTTTGTGCTAAGGCTGCTCCCCTCCCTTGGGCCGGTCCTGGCTCCTGGGGGAAGTGGGCTCGGAGTCTGGCTAGAACTGCCTCCCCTCCAGTTCATGCAGGGAATCTGGAAAATGTTCCATGCCCCCGCTATGTAGCCTGGGGACTAGATCCCTTGTTCTGGCGGGCAGGCGCGTTCCTGGCGGTTTGCACGGCCGTAGCACAGAGAGGCCTCGGCCGGGGGCCGGGCGCCGTACCAACCCCT